TTCTGGAAAAGGATTTTTTTTTGAATTTTCAAAAAAGGCTTTTGGGACACGCGGGATTTGTTTAACAGAAGCGGTTGTCCTCACAAAGGCTTTTGGGGGGGGAGGGTGGAATCCGCGGGCCCCGTTGTCTCGCGGAAAAGACAATCCCCCGGGTCCCCCCCCCCCCCCCCCTCCCGCCGCGCCTCCGCCGTTTGTCGTGGGCCTCCCCCCCCCCCTCCCCCCCGCCAGCGCCGCGGGCCGGGCCGCGCCGCAACGCCTCCAGGTCCTCCTCCCTCACCCACCGACAAAAGGCGACCCTCCCCAAGGCCCCACCCGTCGCAACCCACCCCCCGCCCTCCCCAGACCCTCCCCGAAGCCGCACTCCAAGTGCTCCAAGTGCCGGTGTTAGATGCGGCCGCACTGCTCGGTCAGGAAGAAATCACGACTCTCACTGTGATTGGGCTCGGCAGCTTGTCAGCCCTCAGCCGAAGCTGGGGCCGGTCCTGTAGCCGTCAAGTCAGCTGAGGCGAGCGCTGGCAGCAGCAGCAGCAGCAGAAGAAGATGATGAGTGTGGTTGACGGCTCGGGCTTTCGACCGCGCCTCCCCTCTTTTCGTCTGCGTGGGCTCTGCGCCGCGCCGGGTATGGCGCGCGCTTCCTCGGGAGTTTTTTCAACCAATAAATAAATAAACAATACAACGGACATCCCAAGCTATAGGGCTGTGGGTCGAGGACAGACACGTCCCCACCTTTGCAGGATTTTGCAAAAGCGAGGGGGGAGGGCGCATCGCCGCGCGGAGAGGGCTGGGCACAGGGCACAGGGTATCTCTCTCGCATAGGATATGCACTCGGCGGCACGAGGGCAAGGCTGGGCGTCCTATGTTTGTGCTCCCCCCCGGACCCCTCGCTCTCGGGCACTTATCCATCTGACCACTCATCGACGGGGCTTGGCGAGCGGCCGCGCTGCGGGGCAGGGCTGGTGAGAATGGGCTCTGGCCACTCGCCCGTGCGGGTGTAACCGCGCATCAGCCGAACGGAGGCCTCGACCGCCCCTCGCGGCAAGCTCTCGAGCATCTCGAGCAGCTCGCCCGCCGCCATCGCCGCCTCGAACTGCTCCCTCATGCCGAGCGCGCCGCAGACCTTGCGTACAGCCTCTTGCTGCACCTCGTCCGGTAAATCGGTGTCGTAGCCGGACGAGTCGTTGGAGGAAGCCCGCTTGGCCGGCGTTTTTTCAACCACGGTCAGCGCTTGCTCAGCGATGGGTTATTTTTTGACGGCGCTTCGAGTTGCTTGCCGCACGCTGACGCAGATAAGGGCGCGGACAACATGGAGCTCCAACCAGCGGACGCAAGCGCGCGCAGAGACGAGCTGTACTGGGTGCGCGCGGCGCGGCTGCTCTTCTCCGCCGCGCCCGAGCACCTCTTCGCTCCCCACTTCAAAGCGCTGTGGAATCGGCGCTATCCGGATCTGCCGTGGGACGCATCGCGAGGCGGCCTCCTGGTCGACGGCTCGCCGTCCTTTGAGCTCGAGCTCCCCGGCTCCGTGACATTCGAGCGCGGCTCGGCGTCGATCATGCTGACCGCAGAGGATTTCAGCGGCCTCCTCCCTCCGCGCGTTCGCTTTACGCTGCGTGCGCCGGGCGGCTTGCTGCTGGGCGAATACCGCGTGACGCCGGGCAAGCCTGCTGCCGAGTACAACACGTCGCGGCTGCCTGTCGATCCCGCCTGCAGCGGCCCGTTCGCGGTGGAGCTGCGAGTGCTGCGTCAAAGGGTGCTCGGCTGCCGGCCCAGCTCGGAGGCTACAAAGGGCAACGCGCCCGACAAGCTGAGGGCGGGGCTGCCGGAGAAGTGGGACGGCGGGCTGCATCTCAGCGTCTGGACAGACCGTTGGCTCGACTTGGGCTGCCCGGCGCCGCTGCAGGACGACCTCAAAAAAATTAACGACTTCCGAAACAAGCTCATCGCGCACGCCGCCAACCCCGGCCGGCTCTCGTTACCGCTGGGGGAGTACCGGCGGCTTCGCTCGATGCTTCAGAGGTTTGCACAAGACCACGTGAAGGCGCTGGACGCCTCGTCGTGCGAGGCGATGCTGCGGGCTATCGACGCAGTGAACGGCATGACGTTTCAGACGTCGGCGCTTGAGGAGATGCGGTTGGAGGCGCAGCAGCTGCAGCAGCAGGTGCAACAGCAGGCGGAGGAGACGCGACAGGAGGTGCAGCGTCTGGTTCAGGTGGTGAAGGATGATGGCTCGAGCACACGCAATGCTCTGCGGCAGTTGCGAGACGGGCTGGCCGGGTCAGAGGAGGAGCGCCGCCGCAACCAGCGGGCACTCGAGCACGAATCCAGGGCGGCTGACGCTCAATCTGCTGCTGCCGCCGCCAGCTGTGTCGCGGCGAGAGAATCTGCGACGGCAGCGCGAATCCGCGCTGGTGCCCCGGTTCGCGAGCTCGTCCACGTTGGCGGAGATGGAAGCGGCGGCGGAGATGGAAGCGTCAGCGGAGATGGAAGCGGCAGCGGCGGCGGCGGCGGCGGCGGCGGCGGCGTTGCTGGCGTTGCTGGCGTTGCTGGCGGCGCTGGCGTTGCTGGCGGCGCTGGCGTTGCTGGCGGCGCTGGCGGCAGTGCTGGTGCTGGCCGAGTGAGTGCCGTTCCCAAGTGCGGCGCCGCGTACCGCCGGGTTTTACTCGTCGACGAGCTTGGACCCAGGCGAGCTTGGAACCAGGATCCCGGGATCCGCGTGGTGAACTTCTTCTCACGATTCCGATAGTTAATGCCTAGGTTGGAGGGGGCGCTGAAGGACGCGCCAGAGGCCATGGAGGAGGCATTCTGTTTCGTCGCGAGGAGAGAGCTCGCGCTCACGATTCACCATTCGAGGGATCGGCAGGTGCACGTTCACGAGCGGGTGCGTCAGCAGCTCATGTCGGAGCGGATCCGTCCGACGTACGAGCAGGCTGAGTGCGTTGTGCTGCACGAGGTGGACGACCACAGCCAGGGGCGCGACTTTCAGAAGCACTCCGGTGTCGAGTACGTCATCACGGCGAGCGCGTCCGACTCGACCGAGCTGATTGTGACGGATTTCTGCCGGAACTTTTACCATTTCCTCGTCAGCAAGCCCTTAGCCGAGGCGTTCAAAATCACTATGTCGCAGCTGTGGATCGATCACCAGACGGACCCCTTCAAGCTGTGGCCCCTAAAGGAACGCGTCGTTTTGCAGTACGCCGCGGCCGGCGCCGCAGCCGCCGGCGTACTGGCGCTCTCCCTGGGCGCCGTCAAGCTTTATAGGGGTTCTGTGATCGTCGAGATCGAACTTAACTTCGGCGCGGCGCAGGAGCTGGTCGCGAGGGCGCGGGTGGGCGCGTTGAATGATTTCGTTTGCCTCGTGCGCGCCGATTCGGACGAGCCGCCAGTGTGGCGGCGCGAGCCCGAGGCTGCGCTTGACAGGCAGCTGCAGCTGCGCCGGCTCGCGCGCTCCATCTCGGCAGCCAGCGTGCCGAGCAGCGTGCCCCAGCTCCGGCAGGTCCCAGCGTGGGGGCAGACCACCGCCGCTGTCGCAGAGGAGGAGGTCTACTTTGACCTCATTCTCCGCGCGCCCGGCGCCGGCGGCTTGCTCGACGACTCGAGTTTCCTCAAGCTCGCGCAGCGGCTCGGTTGCAAGCTCTGCGAAGGCGGCGGTGAAGGCGGCGGTGGCAGCAGCAGCAGCGACGCTGCTGGCGGCGGCGACGCTGCCGCTAGCGCGATCGTCGATGGTTTCCACAGGACCGGCGACAGTGACTCGCTGCGCATACGCTTCCGGCTGCATAACGTGCGGCAGCTGCACGCCTTGCGCGACGACCTCTTACTGCGCGACGACAGCGCGGGGGCGCGCAAGCTCTGCGAAGGCGGCGGTGAAGGCGGCGGTGGCAGCAGCAGCAGCGACGCTGCTGGCGGCGGCGACGCTGCCGCTAGCGCGATCGTCGATGGTTTCCACAGGACCGGCGACAGTGACTCGCTGCGCATACGCCTCCGGCTGCATAACGTGCGGCAGCTGCACGCCTTGCGCGACGACCTCTTACTGCGCGACGACAGCGCGGGGGCGCCAGGCCTCGACGCGACGCTCGTAAAGCGCCTCCTCGGCCCGGGGGCATTTGCGGAGCTGGCCAGCGTGAGCGCGGAGACTTCGTGGTCGTTTGACTCGACGCCGCTCGTCGAGTCGTACGAGATGGCGGTCCTGCAGCTGCACGAGCTCACCGACCGGCAGCAAGAGGCGTGCTCCGCGTGCAAGGCGCAGCTCCGAGCGCTCAGCGGCGGGGCAGGCACGGTTCGCTTGGACGGGCCGCCCGGCACCGGCAAGACGTTTGTCGCCTGCCACCTCCTCCTCAAGCAGCTGGAGGAGCCGGGCGAGATCGTCTTTGTCTGTCGCAAGCGAGCGCTGGCACTGTTTGTCGCGGGATGGCTGTGCGTGCGGCGCGTCTCGTCCTCGCGAGAGGCGCGGTCCGCGATGCTCCGCCGCATGCGCTTCGTCTTCGAGGCGCGTGACGGGCGCCCATGCGCCCACGCGCTCTCGCTCGGCCCGGGGCAGATCGACGCAGCTGTCGACGAGGCTTGGCCCTTGCCCGCGGCGTCGCTCGTCATCGTCGACGAGGCGCACCACCTCTACGCAGCGCCGCAGTGGGAGCAGTGGAAGCCGATGCTGGCCTCGATGCCGGCCGCCCCGTGCTTGTTGCTCGGCGACGACTCGCAGGCAACCGCTCGCACCGCGTACCCCTCGGAGCTGGGTGCCGTGCGTTTGACGGAGGTTGTGCGCTGCACGCCGCGCATCAGCCTTGGCTGCTCCGACTTTGCTTTGCGGCACAACCAAGACGGCATCTCCAGCGCGCACGCCCGTCCAGGCCCGCCGCTCGAGGCTCGCTTCTTTGCGGCTGGCGCCGAGGCGACGTACGCCACCGAGATAGCGGCAGCGGTGAAGCAGCTGGCAGAGCGCTTTCCCGGGGACGGCCTTCTCGACGACCGCGTGGCGATCCTGGTGCGGGACGCGCCCTTTGCTGAAGGCATCAAAGCCTCGCTCGGGGCAGCGCTCGCGTCCAATTTTGAGTGTACGCGGCGGCGCTTCTCTCTCATCGACGCGGAGGAGGCTGCGGCGACGCTCTTCTGCTCGGCGGTACGCGGAGGCAGCGAGCGCCTCGTGCTCTCCTCGATCGACGACTTTGACGGACTCGAGCGCCTCTTTGTGATCGTCGCCGGCATGGACGCGACGGGCGACGACGTCCCCGTCGCACGCTCGCGCCTCTATCGCGGTATTTCGCGAGCGCACATGCACGTGACGCTGGTGGAGGAGGAGCGCGCGGGCGGCCTGACCGAGTGGTTGCGCGGAGTGCGGCTGGAGGGCGAGTTTGATAACAAGGTGGAGAAGGCACGGCGCAAGGACGGGGCAGCCGAGGCTGCGTGCGAGGCAGCGGAAGGCGCCGCCTCCAAATCGGCCTCATCGAGCGGGAAACCAGCGCTCGAGCAGAGTTCTAGCCGACGAGCGCGTGGACCCAAACATGGCCGACCAGGATGGTTGCACCTCGGCCGCCTCGGCCGCCTCGGCCGCCTCGGCCGCCCCGGCGGCACGGAGTCCTTCGCACCGACCACGCCTTCTGCGCAGGACTCATCCAAGGTGCCGCCAGCACCCACGATGCAGGCAGTCTGGGATTCGTACGGGAGCACGGGGGCGCCGCAAGAGGGTTGGACCCCCCTTGCGGCGGCGGCGGTGGCGATCGAACGGCCCGCGCAGGAGGCGCTCGACGCGTTCTGGAGGAAGGTTGGGTCGTCGGAGGCGGAGGTGCGGAGATCGACTTCTTTGGACTGGAGCGAAAAGCGCCTCGACGACGGCGATGCTCGGATCGTTGCCTACCTGCTGCTGAGCCCCCGTGCTCCTTACCTGACGACGACGACGGCGGTGCTGACCGATTTGAACCTCTACTGGAACGGGATTGGCGACGAGGGCGCCACTGCGATCGCCGAGGCGCTGCGCGGCAACGGGGTGCTGACCCACCTGAGCCTCCACTCCAACGAGATCCGCGGCGAGGGCGCCAAGGCGCTGGCCTCCGCTCTTCGCGTCAACGGGGTGCTGACCACCCTCAACCTCCGCTACAACGGCATCGGCGCCGAGGGTGCCAAGGCGCTGGCCTCCGCTCTGCGCGTCAACGAGGTATTGACCACCCTCGATATCGGAGAGAATGACATCGGCGACGAGGGTGCCAAGGCGATCGGCGAGGCGCTCGCGGTCAATGGGGTGCTGAACGTCCTCGATATCAGCCGCAACGACATCGGCCCCGAGGGCGGTCTCGCGATCGGCGAGGCACTCGCAGTCAACGGGGTGCTGACCAAGCTGAACCTGCTGTACAACAGTTTGGGCGACGAGGGAGAGAAAGCGATTCGCGATGCGGTGAGCCGGGAAGGGTTCGAGCTCGAGATGTGAGGGGTAGATTCTGAGAGCGGACGGCGCAGGGGGGCGTGCGGGAAGTTAAGACGGGGTTGTCACGGGGTTGTCTTCTTGCGTCGAGGCAGCCGCGAATTCTTTTTTGTGTTTTGGATTTTGCGTTTTTCAGCAGGGGTATTGACCACCCTCAACCTCGGCCGGAAGCGGAACAAGATTGGCGACGAGGGTGGCGTCGCGATCGCCGAGGCGCTGCGCGTCAACGGGGTGCTGACCACCCTCGTGCTCAGCTATAACGGCATCGGCCCCACCGGCGCCACCGCGATCGCCGAGGCTAGAGGGCCCACAGCGTCCTAATCTAAAATCTGAGGATTAAGGATTCAGACTTCGCTTTAGTGAGGAGTGCGAGGACGCGGTATGACTGCACTCCAAGTGCTCCAAGTGCGGTGGGCGGTCGGCGTCGGGGTAGAAGCACAGGGCGTACGGGGTAGTCGTCACACTCTCCTGCCTCGAAAAGGCGGGGCTGTCCCGGAAAGTGAGAAACGCCGGGCAGCGTGACGCACAACTGAACCCTCCCATACGGGGTGTGGAGGGTGAGTTGACCAGGGGGTTGTGCGCCGGGCCCTCCTGCTCCGCCGCAGGCGCCTGTTGATAGGTCCATGTGATAGCCCTGGATGGGCAATGCATACGCCTCACTGGACCTCAGATCGCCCGACCGCGTCCCGGTGCTCTGCCGTCGGATTTGTGACGCCGCCGCACCGCGCCGCGGCCGGGGGCCCTCCGGAGGCCGAGGATGGCCGTGGCGGACCGGGACGAGCTCTGGGAGGGGGGGTGTCAGTGAGTATATTGTTGAGACTAACCATGTGCACAATAACTCTCAGTCTAGCTAAGCGAGGGGAGGCGATTCCGGGGCCGTACAGCAGCTTGACGTGCTTCGCCGGCGTGCGTCCCGGAGCGGTGCCGGAGCGCGGCGAAATCGGGGGACACCGTCACCGACGAGCGCGTTGGAGTATTCACTCCGGACAAAGACGGGCACACAGCGGACGGTGCGGGGCGTGTGCCCGTCATAGTGGCGAGGCGCGGGACCGTCTGTGGCGAAGTGGGTCGCGTCCCCCGATTTCGGTCAACCCAGCATCCACACCCTTTACGTGTTTGAGGCTCCTCCTTCGCTGTCCCATCTCCTCATCTCTTTCCCGCCTGGGCGGGGCGGCGGGCGGGCGCGCGGTGTGATGCGGCGTGTGCGTGTGTGTGACTGCGACAAGGGACCACTCGCAATAGATAACATCAAACGAGTACATTGGATTTGGAGCCACAATATTCGTCACAAGGTTTGTTGGCATCAGACGGCTTTGCATCCCAGTCACGCAGACTGCAACCGCAGGCTTTTGGTCCCGTTGGTGGCTCGGTCTCACATACAGCTCTCGCACCAAATCCAATGACGAGAGCATCTCGTAAAATGTGGTGCTCAGCCTTCCGGTAATAACAAAGTGCGTACCTGCAGGCAGCAACCGCCAACACATGTCAGTGCTGAGAAGGCACGAACTCATTCTCAGCAGCTACATTTTCAGCAATATCAAAGCGTTACCACCAATACCAGCGCTTCCCGCAGGTCCCCGCAGAGCCTCATCACGCTGTGTCGCTCCCGGCAGATCAAAGCAGCGTCCAACACGCCACATCCAGAGCGTTTCGAGGCGTGGGTCGGCACACCCACAAGGCGGAGGCGGACGCGGGGCGCGGGCAAAGACAGGGCTGGGGCAGGGCGCCACAGAGAAGGTGGAGGCTCGCCTGGAGGCGTTCCCTCGAAGACATACTAGTTTTTTGGCGTTCCGGTGCCTATACAAAAAATGTCCGATTCCGCGTGTGTGTGTGAGTTTGTGTGTGTGTGTCACTCACTCACACTCACACACATATGGAGCTGACCACAGGGTTTGCGGCGATCACTGTCCTACCAGCGGGGACAGTGGACCGCGCGGACACCCGTGAATGACCTTACTTACTTAAGGTTCCCCGGGCCACTTTCGGGGGGCAAACCCTGCCCGGCCCCTAGAACCCCGGGTAAGGCCCAGGTGTGGCCTAGGGCATCAGAAGGGACCAAGAGGAGTCCAATCTGAGCCATAGAGCCAATGTCTTTGCCCCCGAAGGTCGCGTTCAAATGCCCGGAACGGACGTCACAGTGGTGTCCGGCCGGCGCGATCACCGAGCTGTGACGCTCAGGGAAGCCTGATGAGGTACTGGTTTCTTTGCCCAGGCCTGGCCTACGACCCAGGCTGGATCAGCTGAGCAAGGTTTGGGGAGAATCCCCCATTCAGATCTTCAGATATTTTGACGGACGACCGAAAATGGGCAAAAACGCGGTGATTTCTTTTTTCTGTACTTGTTAGATTTCTTCTTGTTATGAGCTGTACGCCTAACACACCACACACTCGATGAAGAGAATGAGCTGTACGCCTAACACACCACACACTCTATTCGCGGGGGTGGAGATGTGCGTGCAGACCCCAATCGGACCCGATTTCGCTGCCGCCTCGCGCGCGCCGCTGCTGCTCTCGCCAGCAAGCAAGCAGCCGCCGCGGTGCGCGGTTGCAGCGGCATCCATCGTGCGGCCTGGCGGTCGACTCGCCCTCGGCCTCCGCTGGCGGCTGCCGCAAGAGCGGCTGGCTCACGACAGCGTCTTACCGGTTTCCATCGGGTGGGAGAGAACAGGACGTCTGGCGAGTAAATGTGTATGTAAGTGAGATCGGTCTTGGTACCAGGCACGGTCGAACAAGAGAGAGAGATTTTTAGCAATACCAAACAATGCGAAACACTCGTTTACGTTCCCCGACCCCGGTCCCTACCCCCGCCTGCGCCGTGCGCGGCGCGGCTCTCCTCGTAGTGAGGACGAGAGCCATCTCTGATCTCATAACGCACATCTGTCATCTCTCCACACCGCGACTCATCGTTATCCTCTCCTGACAACCTGAGACTCTCCGACCTAGGGCTAATGCTGAACGTACTCAACAGATAGTAGACGTCTCATTGGACATTGAACGACTGAACACGACGGCACAGGCCACATGGCTGTGGCTGCCTCAATCGGACACTCCAGGCGGACACTCTCTCACGCGGCCCGCACCGCCATCCGGCATGTTGACCACGAGTTCTCTCCCGACAACTCTTCGAGCGGATCGAGCCAGAAGTCCGTCTGCCGCGCCGAGAGCTTCGCCAGACACGTCTGGGGCTCATTCGACCACATGGGCGGCGGAGGCCCAGTCTCAGAGGCGGGAGCCTCCGTCCCCGTGCTGTTGTGAGGCCAACTGATGCACCTCGGCGAATCGGGCGACTGACTCTCAAGCGCGACAGCGTCGAGGCATGCCTCGAGCATACACAGCATCTCGAGCTCGTCTCTGTCTTTGATCCAGTCGCGCAGCTCCTGTGACGTCACTCCAAACTCGCGGCACGTCGGGCTGATGCGATACCAGACGGGGCGCGCAAGCGCAGCGCGGACTGCACGGAGCTTGAAGCGAGCCGTGCGTGAGTTGCGCTCCGCCGCCGTGTCGGTCGCGAACACGCACGGACTGCACAGAGCCGCCATCGTGTCCAGGACGGTTCGCTCGGGCGCCTCCAAAAGGCAATCGCGGAGGCGTGTCAATCGGCCAGCCTTTTCTTCTTTTATTCATTTTCTTTCCGTCGATTCCTTTCGCATAAAAAATCTTTCTTTGCAAGACAACCTTTTTTCTTGTTACTCGCGTCCTCGCTTTCTGTTATAACAACCACACAGGGGCGCAGGTGGCAGGAATAGCCGTCCAATAACTCGCAACCATGGGCTCGCCCTCACAGGCAGCCGCAAGGCGCGCGATACACAACCGCCTGGTCAATGTACAAATAACGCCGCGGTCACACGGTCAAGACAACACACACCGCGTCCGTGATCTCGTCGCTTAATCTCTGATCGTCGTCGCCCCTGCACCCCTTTTGCATGCTCAACGGACCGTGCGCACCGCCTCCTGCTGGACCTCGTCGGGCGTCTCAGAGTCGTAGCCGGAGGAGTCGGCGGAGGAGGCGCGCTTTGCGGGCGGCGCGTCAGGGGAGGGGGAGCGCGACTGGCGCGAGGGCCCGCCGCCGCGCGCAGATAGCGCGTTTTTGTCGACCGTGCCCAAAGAAAGAAAGAAAGAAAACAGACAACCCAAGGGAGGGATGGGAGGACGGCACGCCGCCACCACACAGGGATTTTAAGGAGAGGTGTGTGGTGCGCTAGCCGTCGCCCACCCTAGGGAGTCTGCCTCTTCCTATCTCTCTTCGCAGTCTCTCTCCGATTCTCGCTGCAACCTTCATGCCACCTCGCGGCCGTCCCACTCTCGTCGTTCTCTCCCTTGTCATTTCCTCCTCTGTCGCGTCGTTCTCTTCTGCCTCGTCCTGTGACGCCGCCGCCTGCCGGTCCCTTGTTCTCGCGGCTTCTTTCGCCTTTCGGCGCAACTCCGTCCTCCTCGCGGCGTATCCTGGCCCCTCGAGTCTATCGAGCTCCCCTCGCGCAAGGACCACGTTTCTGACTCCCACCGTGCCCAGTGTCGTGGGAGCTTGCTCAGTAAAAACACACGGCTCTGGCGTGCTCGACCTCGCGACGCCTAGGATGGCAACGCACCAGGCTGCAATCGGGACGCTCCGGGCCGGGGTGTGCAGCCGGCGCGTCGCCTGGCGCTTGCCGGCCGCCTCCCTCAAACGCCTACAATGCCACACGCGAAATCCCTCTTCAGCGTCGCGCCTGCCTCTTCCGCGGCCGGGCGAGGTGGCGGGACCTGCGGGGCCGAGCCCGCTCCGTCCGAGCGCCCCCACCGCCCGCTCCGCCGCGCCCGCACGCGACGGCGAGAGCGCTGCGACCTAGCGTGACGTGCAACCTCGAGCGATTGGTGTGCCGATTACATCGGTGTGCGGTTACATCGGTGTGCCGATTGACAAATGGTGTGCCATCCCCCCCCGCACACCGCACACCGCACAACACTACGCCCAACAGGTGCTCGTCTTTCCCCTTGTCGGACTAAGAACAGCCAACACAACACACAACAAGTGCTCGTCTTTTCTCCTCTGATACAAAGAACAGGCAACAAAAAGAAAAAAGTGGTGCGGGCTGCATTCCCCCGTTTCTCTTCGATCGATCACGTTTTGCCGCTCCTGCCTGAGGAGCTCACGTTTGTTCGTATTGAGGGCCTAGTCCGTAAAGCACCGCCGCACACGACGAGGGCGTCGCCGATCGATCGTCCCCCGCCGCCCGCTCCGCCGCTCCTCCCTCCGTAGACGACCATACATCACACATTCCCCCTCCTTCAGACGCTTCAGACTGCGCGACGCCCCCCCCCCCCCCCCTGCCTGCAACCCCGGGTGAGTGCCCCCCCCCCGACCCCCCACCCACCCCCCACCCGCATTGCGCCCACCGCCCGCCGCACAACACGCAACACACAACGCACAACACACACACCCCCCGCACACCGCACACCACCACAACACACAACACACAACAAGTGCTCGTCTTTTCTCCTGTACGATAAATAAATTCTTTTTCTCGCGATGTCCACCCCGCCGCGCAGCTCGCGCGGCCTCGCCGCCGCCACCACCACCGCCGATCCCTCGTCAGACACGCCGCCGCCCACCCGCCTCCTCGACCTCCCCACGGAGCTCCTCGCGCGCGCCCTCTCTCGCTGCAACAGCCCCGCAGACATCGCTCGCGTCGCTGCCGTCTCGCTTCTCTTTCACGCCTCGCTCGTGGTGGAGGCCATCCGCTTGTGGGCGCAAGCGCGCGGCTACGAGCTGCCGGCGCAGCCAGAGGGCGAGGGCTGCGCCGTGCGGTGGCTGTGCTTTGTGGCGCTGCTTTGCGAGTCCAACCCGCCGGCGAGGGCTGCGGCAGGCTACTCCCACAGCCTCTTCATCGACGGCGAGGGGCGGCTCTCGTCGTGCGGCAGTGGGGCAGGGCATCCCGGGCTGCTCGGCCACGGCGAGGGCGTGCCGCAGCTCAATACGCCGACCCGCCTCCCGTCGACGCTGGGCGGCGAGCGCGCCGTGAGCGTGTCTGCTGGCGAGGGTCACAGCCTGGCCCTAGCCGCTGACGGCAGTGTCTGGAGCTGGGGCTTTGGAGTCCTTAGCCAGTTGGGCCACGGCAACCAGCAGCATCAGCGGCAGCCGAAGAAGATCGAGGCCTTTGCGGGTCAGCGCGTCGTCGCCGTGTCGGCTGGAACAAGCCACAGCATCGCCCTCACCGCCGACGGAGCTGTCTGGAGCTGGGGCCGTGGAGAGGATGGCAAGCTGGGCCACGGCGACCAGCAGCACCAGCTGCTGCCAAAGAAGATCGAGGCCTTTGCTGGCCGGCGCGTCGTCGCTGTGTCGGTTGGACGCGACCACAGCCTCGCCCTCACCGCTGACGGCGCCGTCTGGAGCTGGGGCGAAGGAGCCTATGGCAAGCTGGGCCACGGCGACCAGCAGCACCAGCTGCTGCCAAAGAAGATCGAGGCCTTCGCTGACCAGCGCGTCATCGCTGTGTCGGTGGGGAACTACCACAGTCTCGCCCTCACCGCTGACGGCGCGGTCTGGAGCTGGGGCGGTGGAGGCGGGGGCCAGTTGGGCCACGGCGACAAGCATGACCAGCTGCTGCCCAAGAAGGTCGAGGCCTTCGCTGGCCCGCGCGTCGTCGCTGTGTCGGCTGGTCACAATCACAACATCGCCCTCACCGCCGACGGCGCCGTCTGGAGCTGGGGCTGGGGAGCCTTTGGCAAGCTGGGCCACGGCGACGAGGAGGAGCAGCTGCTGCCCAAGCAGGTCGAGGCCTTGGCTGGGCAGCGCGCCGTCGCTGTGTCCGCAGGATGCGATCACAGCATCGCCCTCACTGCTGGCGGCGCCGTCTTTACCTGGGGCGAGGGCGAGCGCGGCTGCCTTGGCCACGGAGAGGACCTGTCCAATTGGAACCAGCTGCTGCCCAAGAAGATCGAGGCGTGGGAGCGCGGGAGCCGGGGCAGTGAGGTCGCGAGCGGCACGCCGCGCTCGAACTGACACGAGCGACGAGACACGGTGCGGTGTTGTGTGTGTGCATGCGCAAGTTGATACTGAACAACGGACGGGGTTTAGAAAATTACCGATTTTTGCCCCCCGCTACCCGGTTGCACGTTTCGTGCGACGTAGCGGGGGGCCACGACTACGTTTACGAAAACATAAGGAGTCCCGCGAGGTGTGAATTTGGCCGCCGACTTGGAGCACTTGGAGTGCAGTCATTAACCTCACATCCAGGGCCGGGGAGCTCAGAAGCGCACCCAGCGGGCCGGATGATCGGGATCGGGTTACGGGCTAGAGAGCCCTAGCCCCGGGGGTGCGCGTTCGCAGGGCAAGGGCCTTAAAGTAAACACGGGTCTCCGTGTCTCCGAGGGTTAGCCCCGCGTACCGTGCTTCCGTTTTTGGTCCATGTGTCCCAGCCGGGTCACCGCCTGTTGGTACAGCCGCTCCACCCTCCCTCGGGATGGCGTCGCGTGGACCACTACATCCCCGAGGACGCCGAAGGCATGCCTCGCCCTCATCACCCGCGTGACCTCATCTAGGAAAACCACCGAATCATAGCCAGGCGTGCGGATCCGGGGAGGAGGCTCGTGGCTAATTTGGTTCGGTTCAGCCCTTCCTCCGACTCGTGCCGTCGGCTGTCCCTCCCCCGTGCCCCGTCTCTGCTCCTCCTCCGTCTGAGGCTCGCATGGCTTCCTCCCTCCGTGCTCCCGCCTGCGGCTGGTTCTGCCGTACAAGGCCCCGCAGTTCTTCCGCAACGATCTCTCGGTGCCCGAGCTGGTCACCTCCGCTGCCCCATGTCAGGACCAGGGCACCCGTCGCCGATCCGTGTTCACGGCTAATCTGGGTCAGCGCCCTCACCACTTCGTTCCCCACCAGCTGTTCGAGATCCGACGTGGGGCGGATCCCCGTTGGCAGAGCCCCCCCCCCCTCCTCGTTCATGTCCACTGCCCGGACGTCCCCAAGTCTGAGCCATCTTCGGTACGCCCCCCGGCCCGCCTCCTCCAGCCCCATCTGGTCGGTGCTCCCCGGCTCCTCCCTTCTTGCGAAAACGTGTGCTAAGGCCCGACTCCACTTGGTCCCCCTCCCCACATTCACCACCACCTGTCTCCCACCCTTTGGCCTGTGCTCGCCCAAGACAATCCGAAGGGCAGGGGGGCCGGGCGGCGGCGCCACTCCCAGGATATCTATCGCACGTTGTGATAGGGGGGCGCACTTCGCCCTCTCTTCCTGCACGAGTTCTCCCGGCCCTCGCACAGGGGGAGGGTCCTGGCGTCCCCGGTGGAGCTGCACGTTAGCGAGGCCTCGCACCGTATCCTCCCTCCGCGTCGCCGAGTCATCCCCCCCCATCGGCTGGTCTCGCGTGGCCTCCTCCATCCGGATGGTGTACGACCTCCTCACCGCTGCAGCCTGGTGTTGTAGTCCCGCCAGGGTGTTCACCGCTATGTCCTTTGCCGACTAGCCCCCTTTTCCACTGTTGCTCTGGGAAAGCTCGCGCGCTAGCTAGCGCGCACCACCCTCTGCCACCCTACTGCCTCCAGCCCAATGGCACATGTCACGCATGCTGGAAGCGCTTTTCGTGGCAAACCAAAGTTGCGCTGCGCGCGAAGCCGCTTTTGAAAGCGCGAAACGAATCTCGTCCTACCTCCCACCGGCCCCACGGCTTTTCGTCGCCCATGCTTCGGTCTCGACTTGAGTGCCGCTCGACTGGCCGATGAAGAGCGACCCGTACGCGCACTTGTCGTCCTCCCTCCTCGCCACATGACGGCCGCCCTCCGACACCGACAGTCGCGCTCCGCACGCCTTCGAGGTCAGCTGCGGCCGAGCGACGATCGGCTCGCTCCGATCGCTGGGCGCGGTCACTCTGCGGCCCATCACCCGCCTGCCGATCACCTGTCCGCCTCGCCGCGCGCGGGCCGCTCGCCTGCTCGCCACCGCCGCCGCGCGTCCCCGCGCCGCCACGCTTCCCTGTGCACCTGACTGCGCTCGAGCTGCGCAGACGGCGCGCTCTGGCAGACAGAGCAGCGGCCGCCCAGGCGGTCGCTGCTCCGCCCCGTCCGAATCCGTCCGCCCGCGCGTGCCGCTGCCGCCGCCGCCGCCCGGCACCGGCCAAGACCGTTTCCAACCCAAGAATACTCACTCACTCACAGCGATCTCGCCTCCTTCTCCTTCTCCTTTGCCCTCTCCCTCTTCTCCAACGTCTCCACACACACACACACGCGCGCGCATCGGGCGTTTGCTAGGTTAGGTTAGGTAGAAAGGTGAAGAACTGCCAGGCTCGGTCGGACTGGACACCAACCAACGCGGTATGGGTGGACGCGAGAGTGAATACTCACACTCACACTGGACGCGAGACAGATGATGACGACACGCACGAGCGACACACAGCACCAAACAGGCTTAAAAGACTGGCCGAGGCTCCGCTGCACCGCGCGGTCAGATTTCGAAGGCAGCGAACGCATCGCGATCATCCTGGAATGAGTAAAAAAGAGAATTTTGTCTGACCGTTTGAGTTTCACCCGTCGCCTGGCCGAGAATTTGCCTCTTGCACCGTGCTCCTCGCCGCCTCGCCGCTCTCGCCGCTCGCCGCTCGCAACCTCGCCCGCATGCTCCACGCCTCCGCCATCCCAACACGCATCCGCGAAGGCGTCAAGCACCGGCTCGCGGCCAAGCAGGACGCCGAAGATGGCGGGCGCACGTCTCCGGTTGCCGAGGTTGCAGCTTGCACCGAGTCTTTGACGAGCCCCGCCTCTGGCTCCACGATCATCCGCGCGCTGGCGCGGTCAGGCGTGGCCGAGATCACGTCTCCAGTCTCCTTCAACATCCGCGCGCTCGCCGCGGTGCCCAGCACGGGCGGGGAGGAGGAGGTCGAGGAGAAGGAGGTGGCGTCCCTGCGGCTCTCAGCGGAGCGCCCAGGCTCGTCTGCCGACGAGCGGCCGTCCAATCCAGTGTGCGGGATGGAGGCGAAAACGGCCGCGCGTCTCACGCCGGAAGCCGTCCCGTCGCCGCTCCCTTTCCTCAGCACGCCGCCACCAGAAGTCCCGTCTCCGTCCGCCTTCCCGCACGGCGGCCAAGGCAGCGACGGCGGCATGTGCGGCGAGGTGTGCTACTTGACCTCGCTGGGCGAAGGCGAGGCCGCGCACGCCACCGCCACATCCTCTGGCGGCCGGCCTTGCGACCCGGTCGCCTCCTCCCTGGCCGAGCGCGACGGCTGCAGCTCGCTGGATAGCTGCGCGACGGTGCTCGACGACCCGTGCAGTGGATCGTCCTCGGATGAGGCGACGGAGGGGGCCGACTCGCCGCCGCGGCTGCTGTGCACGCACGACGCCGCCATCGCGACGTGCCGCCACCCAGTCGCAGGCACATCGCTCCGCAAACCGCAGCGCTCCGCTGCGCGCCTCCTCCTCGCCACGCTCCTCGCCGCCGTCGCCCTCGGGCCGATTCTGCACGCCCTCGCGGCGCGCCTCGCGCCGCCGCCGCCGCCGCCGCCGCTGCTGACGCCGCCGCCGCCGCCGCCGCCGCCGGCCGCGTGTGACATGCACATGGACATCGACATGGACATGGACATGGACATGGTCGGCGTGCGCGACTACTCGCGCCTCGCGCCGGCAGGAAGGCACGCGGGGCGCCGTGCCGGCGGCGTGGAAGCGCCCTTCCCTGTCGGCGGCGGCTTCCCGGGGCTGCTCGGCTGAGACCCTGGGGGAGGCTGCCGCTGCCATTGGCTAGCACGCGGCGGCAGGGCTGGCGCCGCGTGCCAGCCAGACAGACGACACATTCCTAGACACATTCCCCGTGGAGGGGAGCTGGCGCGGGCCTGAGTTCTGTCTTCTTGTACGTGCAGCAGTGCACCTTGGCCTGCATATACTTTTCCGGCAAACAAAAAGGAAAACAGAGGGTCCCCAGCACTTTGCGTTTCCGGAAATTTCCAGGGAAAACAGAGGTGTTTGGTGCTCCATTCTGGAAACTCGCGACTTTCCCTGAGTCTGAGAGCTGGTCTGGGGCAAAATCTGAGGCAAAATTGAGGAAATCGGCACGATACCCAGGCGGGACGCAGTCGAAAAAGAAAAAGCGCACCCCGCAAGCAGCGGGTCCTCTCTGCTCGACTCTCGCATGCCGGCCGCCAAGCGCGGGCGAGAGGGCGGGCCGCCTGACGAGGACGCGGATAAACGCCCGCGCCAAGCAGCCGGGCCCAGCGACGCCACTCCCGGCGACGCGCTCGAGGCGCTCCGCGCCAAACGCCAGGCCAAGCTCTCTTCCGAGCAGGCGGCCGCGGCGGAGTCTTCGTCGGCGCTGTCGGAGAGGGCGGCGGGCAAGCAGCCGGCGGCCTCCTCCGCGCAAGGCGCGACCGCCTCCCGCACCCGCGCGCCGGGCGGCGACGCCGACGAGTCGTATTTCGACGATGACGAGCCGCAGCAGCCGCGGCCGGCGGGCGCGACCAACGGCGTCGGCCACACCAACGGCGTGGGCGGCAGCCACCACGGCAACGGTGCCGGCAGCAGCGGCCACGCACCGGGCGAGGGCGCGGATGCAGCGGCTGGCGAGGATGCGGCGGCCGATCCTCTCGAGGCGTACATGGCGCACGTGTCGTCGCGGCTGTACCTGGGGAAGGAGGGGGACGGGGAGGAGAGGGCGGCGCAGCGCACCTCGCGCTGCGTCTGCTTCGAGAACCTCATCTCGCCCGAGCGCGCCGCCGCCGCTGCCGACGAGGCGCACCAGGTCCGGATGGAGACGGGGACAGAGTGCTCCCGCTGGGGGACGCTGCTGCGTGTGCACGTGCCGAGCGGGGCGGACGCGGCGGAGGGGGGAGCCCCACCCCCGGGGGGGGGGCTCGGCCGCGTCTTTGTCGAGTTCGAGGCCGAGGACGCCGCCGTCGAGTGCGCGCGCGCGCTGGATGGCCGGCTCTTTGATGGCCGGCGCGCGGACCCTTCCGAGACACTTCCGAGTCTCTTCCGAGTCACTTCCGAGACGCCTCCGAGACACCTCCGAGACACCTCCGAGACACCTCCGAGACACCTCCGAGACACCTCCGCATTTCCGAGACACCTCCAAGAGAGATTCCCGCCTGCGTGTGTCGTCGTCCGCGGCAGGGATGCAACACTGACCAGACACTGACCGACCGACCGACTCACTGGCTTCACTGACCCCACCCCTCGCCCCTCCGCCCGCCAGGCGAGTGACGGCACTCTACTACCCGCTGGGCGCCTTCTACGAGGGGGACTTTGCGGACGAGGGCGCCCCGCTGCAGGTGACTCACTCTCACACCGCTCACCCAACGCACCGGGCCCTTGCACTTTGAATGCCGTGCGGCTCCTGTCGTCCAGACGTGGAGTCGCGAGGGCGGCCTGGCCCCTGCCCCCCCACCTCGTGTGTGCGGAGAAGTGCACCTTGCTTGACTTCCCCTTCCTTAGGCGACGTCCATCACCTGGGACGATATCGTCGCGATGAACTCGCGACCGGCCAGCTCGTGGGACACGATGGACGGCGAGGGCGGCGGCGGCGCCGCGAGCGGAGGAGGCAACCCGTATGGCCAGAGCGACGTGGAGCAGAGCGACGCAGAGGAGGCGGCGGACAAGGAGCCGCCCGGGGACGACACCGACCAGTTCCACGCCCAGTTCATGCAGCGGATGCGGCAGCAAGCGGACGACGCCGCGCGCTCGCGAGAGAAGGCGGCGCAGGAGCTGATGGGCACCGGCGACGACGCGATGGACGCGCGCTCCTCGACCTCGCGGAGCGGCCGAGGGTGTGAACAGCGTCTCTTCACACCTGCAGCTGTGAACAGGCGCTCCTCGACCTCGCGGAGCGGCCGAGGGTGTGAACAGCGTCTCTTCACACCTGCAGCTGTGAACAGGCGCTCGTTGAGGAGTTTCCGGACATGGCGGAGCATGCGGACGTCGACTCCGACTCCGACTCCGACGCCGAGGCCGCCAAGCTGGCCGAAGTGGCGCGCGCCAAGAAGAAGGAGCTGCCGCGCGTCGACCACTCGACCGTCACCTACCTGCCGTTCCGAAAGAACTTTTACATCGAGGTGCCGGAGAGGAGAGGAGGGGAGGGAGAGGCAGGGGGGAGGGTAGGGGGAGGGGGCACGTCCCCGCCTGCCCCTCCTCCATCCGGACGCACGAGATGAGGTCGAGCCTAGAGACGGCTCCGAGAAGCTTCAGAGACAGTTCCTGCCCGTGTTCCTCCGCGCGCAGGTGCCGGAGATCAAGCGCATGAGCGACGAGGAGGTCGCCGCCACGCGCCTCGCGATGGACAAGCTCAAGGTGCGCGGCAAGCGCGTGCCCAAGCCGATCAAGAAGTGGACGCAGTGCGGCCTCTCCGACGCCGTCCTCGCCGTCATCGAGAAGAGCGGCTACGCGGCGCCCTTCCCGATCCAGTCGCAGGCACTGCCCACGATCATGCAGTGGAGGAAGACCTTTCCTAGACCTTTCCTGGAACCTTCCTATAGGCGCTGCCCACGATCATGCAGGGCAGGCACGGCTCGCGCTGCGCCACTCCCAACATCTCCCATCTCTCCCCATCTCTCCCCATCTCTCCCCATCTCTCCCCATCTCTCGCGCAGGCACGGCTCGCGCTGCGCCACTCCCAACATCTCCCATATCTCCCCATATCTCCCCATCTCTCCCCATCTCTCCCCATCTCTCCCCATCTCTCGCGCAGGCACGGCTCGCGCTGCGCCACTCCCAACATCTCCCCATATCTCCCCATCTCTCCCCATCTCTCGCGCAGGGACGTCATCGCCATCGCCAAGACCGGCTCCGGCAAGACGATGGGCTACACGCTGCCGATGTTGCGACACGTGCTCGACCAGCCGCCGCTCGAGAAGAACGACGGGCCGATCTCTCTCATCATGGTCGGCACCTGTCGCAGCGCGGGCGGTGGCTGTGAACCGCGTCTCTTCACACCTGCAGCTGTGAGCAGGTCCCGACGCGCGAGCTCGCCATGCAGGTCTACCGCGAGGTGCACAAGTTCGCGCGGCTCACCCGCATCCGCGTGGTCCCGGTGTACGGCGGCGCCGGCATCAAGCAGCAGATCTCCGAGCTGCGGCGCGGCGCCGAGGTCGTCGTCTGCACGCCAGGCCGGATGATTGACATGCTCACCGCCAACGGCGGCCGCGTCACCAACCTGCAGCGCGTCACGTACGTGGTGCTCGACGAGGCGCGACCGCTCCCCCCCCTCCCCAC